AAATGAACTGAATCTATACAGATGAATAAAATTTGTGACGGTACTTTCACTGGCAGATAGCCGATGTAATTAGGAGTAACTAAGACATGGTCCTTCACTGCTGGCCGTATGAGGAAGCTCAAAGTCGCTCAGCGAGCTATGGAGCGGGCTATGCTCGGTATTTCTCTGCGTGATAGAGTTCGTAACGAAGACATCCGCAGTAGAACTAAGGTGACCGACATAGCTCAGAGGATTAGCAAGCTGAAGTGGCGATGGGCCGGCCATATAGCTCGTAGAACCGATAACCGTTGGGGAAGAAAGGTTCTCGAGTAGCAGCCTCGTACTGGCCATCGCAGTGTGGGACGACCCCCTACTAGATGGAGTGACGACCTGTGCAAATGTGCGGGAAGTCGATGGATGCAGATGGCTCAGGATCGTACTTCGTGGCAGTCTATGGGGGAGGCCTATGTTCAGCAGTGGACTCAAACAGACTGAAATGATGATGATGAAGGCTACTTTAATTTTAGAAAACTTATTTATTTTAAATTCCACACTGGCGAAGTCCTGGGCACATCTAGTAGTCTTATAGATACGGTCCTAATTGGCACGCGGCCCAAACCTGCCAGACTGCGTTGTCTAGCGACGGCTGTTGGGTTGCCTTTGGCACGCCAAGCGCTCGCTCCGATCGTAAAAAGCTGTCGTGGTACTTACCCGGACGGTCCTGCCCATTCGTGCAACAGCGAACACTCGCGAGGCCCTACCACGGTGAAACATGGTTCGTTCGTGCAGAAAGTATGCTAGTGGAAACGATAGACCAACAACGGACGGTCTACTATGATTGTGACCATCGCCGACGCGTTAGAATAATATAATACCAAGGTTTCCAAGCGCCGGTTGTCACCGGTTGGTAGTATAAAATAGCGACCCGCCCCGGCTTCGCACGGGTGCAATGTATTATACATATAAAGCTTCGACTTGATTCACTCTATCTAGTAAAAAAAACCGCACCAAGATCCGTTGCGTACTTTTAAAGATCTAAGCATGCATAGGGTCAGACAGAACGGGATGACTTTGTTTTATACTATGTAGTGATAACTTAGACGTAGTTCCATACTGCCTAGGTATATACCTAGGCAGAATGGAATCACTCTCACACCGTGAGACCAGTCGAAATAAATACAATATAACCGTACACTATTTGCTCGTATTTGAAGTACATAACTAATAGCCTAACAAGGCCGAGTAATATACAGTGAGTCAATATTTTTTCGGTCGTAAAATATTATATGAAATACTTGTTTTTATAGCCTCTATAGGGGCAGCCGTCCACTGGAGCTAAAGGAACACGGGCCAATTTCTATCTGGGACCGTAGAGAATTATAATAATATATTTCATTTGCGAAATATAGTTTAGGCATAAGGCGTACAGTACAGTAATTTATATCGCTATATTCTTTTTTTGTATGTGAAAAGTTACCAAGCGAGCAGACGGCTCACCTAATGTTAAGTGAATACCGCCGCCCATGGACATTTGTAACACCCGTAGGGTGGCAGATGCGTTGCCACCTCTCAACAATGTGCGCCCCGGCTACCTCACTCACGAGACGAAGCGCAGATGTGTTAAGGCCCATTTACACGATGCCATTTTCTTGTACATACAAGAGCAATAATTGAATGCAATAAATTGCGGGCAATAATTGACCATCAAGAATTGTAAGCAACAGTTTACACGCAGATATAGTAAAAAAAAATTGAATGCGATTATTGTATGCAAGTCTTGACAAGAAATAATTGCAAACGTCTTTTTTTTACACCAATCAATGCAATTATGTTTAGGCGATTATTGCTTTCAAGTTTTGATTTGTCTAAACACATGCTTGTATGTCCGTGTACAATTTATTGGCGTGTTGCTTCAAGTATTGCACGTATTTGCGTTGACAAATATTTCATTCAAGTGTTGAACGTTTTGAAAAGGGCTGTTTATTTAAAAAAAATGGGTTGATAATAAGTGTTCAAGTTAGATTATGCCGATTTAATATATTTCATTGAGATTTTTTTATTATTATCCATATATTATTATTCCTTTTTTTGTCCAACATTTTTTACGACCTTTTCTCAACATTTCTTGCCTCAAAAGAACAGCAACGATTAAACACCCTCACTCATCGTACTCATGTTCGCAAAGGAAAAGAGAATGCAATTGAATACAAGAATTGCTTAAGAAATTATTGTGTGTGCTGTTTACACCAAGCAAAGTTTTGAAACAAAACTTGAAGCAAGTCTTGTTCAACAGTCAAGAATGTTATATGTTGTTTAGAACGTGCAACTCATTTATTGCTTCAATTTAATTGTATACAACAGGCAAGAAACTGGCACCATGTAAATGGGCCTTAACACTTCCAATTCACAACGTTCGTGCAACAGTGAACACTGTTGCGTGGCCCTTCCACAGTTATATGGATGGTGATGCGATTTGTGCGCGGACCCAAAGCAGGGTTCGACGATGCCGCAGTGAGCTGGGACCCTTATGTCCGACGGCCTCGCCGTAGTAGTATATCGAGCCACGCGTAAACATCGCGCGAGGTCAAAGTCTCACAGAGAAGTTATTTATAAGCGCCGAAACCGTCAGATTTACGAGAGATATGCGATCGGTAATCTTAACCGCAAGACGTTCTCGACTCCAGCCCTATCGTTCTTCGTGCTAGCGGCTGAATTGTGAGGGTTAACTCACTGTCCAGTTGCCGTAAACTGCGCTCAGACCTTTACTATTTTAAAACCTGTGGGAACTCAACAGATAATTATGGTTCCATAACTTTATTCGGCAGACGAAATATAAATAATTCCAATTCACACCGATCTTGGCTGTGGTATATATCTGAACGGGTATGCCCCAAACACCCGGAGGGAGGAGGCCTGAGAAGGCCAGTTTTAACTTTTTATTTTTTATTTGCCACAAATCTTATGTAGATCACTACATAGTATAAAACAAATTCTGTCTGTCCCTATGTATGCTTGATCTTTAAAACTACGCAACGGGTCTTGATGCGTTTTTTTTCACTAGATAGATGATTCAAGGGGAAGGTTTATATGTAATACATTGCACCCGTGCGAAGCCGGGGCGGGTCGCTAGTACTAGTATAATGGCGAACTTAATGACAATGGCATTTTCTAACAGTCAACCTTAGGGTGCTGTAGAGAAAGTGAGGTAGGTGCACGGATGTAATGTGTGGAACGAACAAAATATTATTCATAAACTAAATAATTACTTTAAAAAACTTTTAAGTTAAACGGTTTTATTTTATGTTTTTTTTTTTTAAATTTTTTTTTGTTAATATTGTATTGTCATCTAAATTAAATGTGTGTACTCAAATTTTAGATCAATCTGACAACGGCAAGGTGCTTAAATTTCAATTTCTAATTTTGACCCAAATAAATAAACAAACAGATTCCGTACGGGTCGAGCTAAATAAAACCGTTTAATAATAAACATTCACGCCGGGGTTCGTAGAAGATTGCTTTTTCGTATTCCCGAGTGCTCGTAAGTTTTAGTGGGTACCCCCTGTCGCTAGGGAACTATTACATACCCCTGCTGCCTCTACCTACAAGGCGACGCGGGATCCATGAAGGATCTTTCCACGTAAAAAAAAATGTGCCCATTTCAACCTGCCCATTCGTGCAACATGGCGTTGCGTGGCCCTGAGGCCGCCGACCGCCGCAATACGTCGATGTAAAATTCCCACATTAACCCCTATGATATGGGCATCGAATGATAGGGGCTGTTCTTATTGACGGCTAATGAATTGCTTAAAATGTAATAAAACAATTTAGGTAGATAGATTACGTTGTGATTTTCTTCGGTGTGGCAATCAGCCGTTTAGCTCATTGGCTAAAGCGCGAATCTGGAAGACGTGGGTTCGATTCCCGCACCGGCGAACAACTTTATGTACATTTATTTCTAATTATTTTAAAACTATTAAATTTGATTTTTTTTTAATGAGTTTTTTTTAATAAGTTTTTTTTTGTATCGGCATCGACTCGATATCCAATCTACGCGAACTAGTGCACACCCGACAGAGTTCAACATCACACGGGGGAAATCAAAGTATAATGCCACGTGCCCGTAACGGTAATTATTTCCAATCACGAACGTCGATTGAAATGACGATGAAACTATTTTTCGGTTCGTTTCTGCGCAAACAGTTGAGGTGACGTGCTTGTATACTAATTTTCTCTAGAGAAGGCAAAAAAAATATCGATATTTTTTATTCAATATACCGATATTTAACCAATATATTTTGATCCGATATATCGATATAAAACATTCAATACCGAAATAGTATCAGAAACGACACCTTTTTCAAATTCGAATCCGAGACAGAGTCCGCACATCCAAATATTTAATACTTTGCTTTTTACTTACTTTAACTTTTTTTTTATGCGGTTTTTTTTTACAACAGGGCCTAAAGAGGAAATATCGATATATCGAGGCCAATATTGATATTGTATAAATATCGATATATTTCTTCACTTTCGGCTTCCCTAACTTTCTCACTTGGTTTCTCCCATCGAGTTAAGAGCGAGCAGCAGCTTCGGCTTTTCACGAAGGTTCGTCCGGTGAAGTAACAGACGTTTTGCGTTTCGTCTGCTGAGGGAGGTGATCAGCGTCCTCTCTTAGTGGCTACATTCGTAGAAATATAAAAAAAAAAACATAGGCGGTCTCATGGGGACTGCCGACAGAAGTGGAAACATATGACAATATCAAAATTATAATTGTAATTCTACATATTTCATAGGCACTCCGAACGATACTAACAGTACTTATATCATATCCATAACTACAAATATATTTTTGCTTATTCCTTTTTTATAAATGGCTCGTGGAAAGCATTCGGTGGCGATGAAGCGAGTTTCACGGTTTTTGTTTACCCAAAAAGTGCTAAATCCTCTCGCCTCTAAAGAATTTTTCACTTCATAAATTCCAAACATGTTATACTGTACTCACCAATCAAACTTTCTTCCAGGCATCGCAATAAGGAACCGTCAGGTCTGGACCAGCAAACGCAGACAGCCGACACGCAAAAAACAAAACCCACCTGGGTCGACCTCTCGCACGATACGGACGTGAACTATCTCGCCAACGCTCCACGCGCCAACAGGGTGGAGAGGGACGACATAGAAGTTTTAATCGGCGATAAATATGTCCCGCTCGATGAAATCCCCCAGAACCAACTATATCCCGAACTCGAGAGCCCTCCCTATGGCCTCGATGTCGCCGACGGCCCGCCAGATAGGCGCAAGCGGGAGATAATCAACAGCGTCGCCAAGGAGCACAAAGGGCGGGACTTAGACCGGCTGGAGGAGCTGAAGATGGGCGCTGGTGAGGTGATCGGGCCGTTCGACGACAAAGTGGACCGGGCGAGGGGGCCGCTCGAGACGGAGACGGACAGCGAGGATGCGAAGATGCAGAGGAACGAGCGCCAGGCGGGCCAGAGACTCGAGGAGTCTATGATGACAACAGTGAGGGCCGATAGGGTGCCCATCGCGGTCGAGGGACTGCGGATCGAGGACTCCGACAAGGAGCCGAAGATCATAGAGGACGGAATACCAAGCGTGCTGGCGGACACAAGAGTTACATTACGGTAAGAATTTGGTCCCTTAGCGAGCGCTTGAGTTAGAACCCCATTGTTCCCTTATCGGGCGTTTGAGTTAGAACCCTTTCCCTACTTAAGAAGGTCTAAGGTTTAAGTTAGAACGCCTTCCCGACTTCATAGTACAGCCTCGGGCTTAAGTCAGAAATCCTTGCATGGCTACTTTTGACTGGTGAGTGCGTAATAAAGCTCGCGGAACTTCCGTTTTCGCAACTGCGGAAATTCCGCATGCTTTATTACATCCGTTTCTATTTCCGATGGCGGAATGGAACGCTGGCGCGGTGTTTTACGGTTAATGGAATCCCCTCCCCCGCCCCGGTAGATGTAGAAGCGGTAAACTTATAAAATTTTACTTTTTGCTTAATCCATAATTATATATAAAAATAAATTGCTGGTCGTTAGTCTTTTTTCTAAAACTCGAGAACGGCTGGACTGAATTTGTGGCAGTCCAGGGAAGATTTAAACGATGAGAAATTATGGAAAAATTGCTTGGAAAATCGAAATAGCTACAATTTTAATTACCCATACCAACCTGTCAACCTGTCAACGGCGTCTGTGTAACCTGTCAAACATTTATGCGTGCGTTCCGAAAATCCTTTTTTTATGTGTTTAGATTCATAAATTGCCTAGAAACAATTTATATGGCAAAACAACGTTTGCCGGGCCAGCTAGTATGTTATATTATGTATGTCAGCTGTTTCTGCTTCAATGTAAATGTGACGCAATTGTGACTCCTCAGGCGTCGCGAGAGCCCATGGGTGCGCCGAACACTTACCTCATTTGCCTCCTTTTCCATAAAAAAAATGATACGCTGTTACAGCTGGAAACCTATTGCCATCACTAAGAGTAGTATAAAGACATGAGAAATTCAATAGCATTATGCTCCTAATCACGCCGATGAATTCATAAGCGCGTGTGGAAAAAATTATGTATAAGGAAGAAATTCTAAATTACCATACTTTAATACGCTCAGTAGTTTTAGCCGTTCACGACATTGCTTTGGTGGTCCGATATGAATGCGTATGAGGATCTCAGTACCCTATCATTGCCGTCCAGGCTCTTCGGGCAGGGCCTGACGTACGGGACGGTCATCGCCTTCACCCACGACCCGATGGACTACGGGCAGCCGTGCAAGTTCCTGCTCAAGGGCGAGTACATGGTACGTATGGCTCTCCTCCAGCAGGTGTGCTGCATCTTCGTGTTCACTTGTCCCCGGCCGATGCGACAGAGACAGGTGCAACGCGGCCTTTACTGGGTACCCGTTTCTGAACGGGATGCCCACATAACCCTGCCACTCCTCCTTCTTCTTTTCGAGTCAAAATAGCTACTTATTTGTTCGACCCGTTTATGGCCACTCCTCCGATCTGGTGGCGGAGGATCCATAAAGATGGTTGGTTTCGTTGTTGGGGGCGCATCTTAAAAGGCGGGTGACAAAGTGCAAACACTCGCCAAATGGTTGTTAGTGCCTTGCTAATCTATATGTAATGTAATGTAAACAATTGAACTATTTGCTTTACGTGAGACTTCACTGCTGCACGAATAAGGTGGTCCGTCTGGGAAGTACCACCACGTCACAGAAGGCGCTCGGTAAGTTTAAGTAAAGTTCTGCGTTTCGTTTTGTTACCACTCGCCGTTAGGTAACCGGGCCTCGGTCTCGAGCTGCTGCAAGATGGTGAGGGAATCGGGGAAGGTTTTATTTTCTACGAGATGTGATCACGCGCAGCACCGTGGTGGCCACCGAGGGGGTTTTAGTGGGAAAAAACCCCACATAACCCTGGGGTGACAGGGTATTTTTTGAAGGTTTCCTCCCGATACAAAAATAGGTAATCGGGCCTCAATTTAAGATGACAACGCGTCTGCACCCCAACGGGTGTTGCAAGTGTCCATGGGAGGACGTAATCAGCTAACATCACGTGAACAGCCAGCGATCTTCCGATCTTCTTATATTAAAACAAACGCCGTGGTGCCCCCCTGGTGGGGCTGGTTCAGATCCCCTTTTTATTCTCGGGGGGAAAATCTCCAAAAAATACCCAGTCATCCCTCACATGACAGGGTTATGTAAGGTTCGTACCCTTTAAAGCCCCTTCAGTGCCCACCTTCTGTATGTTCGGACGGACTACGAGATCTGCTACGGAACGCACCGGTGTCCATCGGTACTGCTCATGAGCACGCCGCACCATCTTGCAACAGAACGTTACCCTAAGTCCCATTTAAGTCGCCATTTACGACCTTAGTGCTATACAGACAGCGCATCAAACAAGCCCCGCTTCCAGGTGAAGGAGGGCAGTCTGCAGGGCAATACGGCGCTGTTCGAAATCACAGCGCCCGCCCCGGTGGCCGGCTCCAAGCTGTACATATGCGCCAAGACCCTGCCCCCGGGCGTCGCCGACCCCAACTCGGACGGCGGCAAGTACCTCCACATGGGCCCGGAGAGCTGGCGCGCTTTCGCGATACACACCAAGCTGCTTCCCCTCTGGGTGTCCCTAGTGCTGATAATGCTCTGCCTGATGTTCTCCGCCCTCTTCTCCGGGCTGAACCTCGGCCTGATGTCCCTGGACCGCACCGAGCTGAAGATCATCTCGAACACGGGCACGGAGCGCGAGAGGAAGTACGCGCGCGCCATCATGCCCGTCCGCGACCACGGCAACTACCTGCTGTGCAGCATCCTGCTCGGCAACGTGGCGGTGAACAGCACGTTCACCATACTCCTCGACGAGCTCACGTCGGGGCTGTTCGCGGTGATCTTCTCGACCCTCGCGATCGTGCTGCTGGGCGAGATAACGCCGCAGGCGATATGCTCCCGCCACGGGCTGATGGTCGGCGCTAAGAGCATCATGGTGACGAAGGTGGGTCGGTACACCATACACACACACACGCATACCCAAACTGTTTGTGTGTCTTACACATGTACATGCACCAATCAATACACGCACGTGACACGTACACAAACAGATAAAAAGAGGCCAAACAATATCGAACACAAAACACGCACAACCAGTCTGTGTCACACTCACACGCACACAAACTCTTTCTGTCTTACAAACACACGTACAAGCACCAATCAATACACGCATGTGACACGTACACAAACTGATAAAAAGAGGCTATACAATATCAAACACAAAACACACACAAACAGTCTTGTGTCACACACACGCACACAAACTGTTTGTGTCTCACAAACACACGTACAAGCTAGTATAGTTCCTTTAACTTTTAAAATATTATGCTTTTTAAAGAGTATTTTATAAGTTACTCTCGTGAAACGGAACGCTGTTCATAGGCCTCACGTTATATTCCATTGTTCTAGTTTCTGTTGTTGTAAACTAAATGGCCTCTTAATGAGCAGCAGTTCGCTTTGAGAAGATTGCAACTCTTATTTGATTTTATGCAATTTTTAACAACGCGGAACATATCCGTATACTAACTGTCCGTATAATCTGTTTTTTCTTTTTTTCTTTAAAAAAAAACTTTGTCCTTACTTTAGGATAACATTATCCTGTGTTGTAAGGACGTTTTACAAATAACATAAATTTCAGATGGACAAACACCCAGCAAAAGTAGTTGTGTGTCCTTACCACAATGATATTTCATAAACGAACACTTATATAACTGAAATTTGTTTTCTTCATTCATACGAACACTACCACAATGACTATGTATGTACACCCACACAAATAGATGCAATGTTAACCCTTTCTTTAGGGTTCCGTGCCCAAAGGCTAAAACGGAACCCTAGTACTAAGACTTCGCTGTCTGTCTGTCAGTTGAAATATTCACAGATGATGTATTTCTGTTGCCGCTAAAACAACAAATACTAAAAAACAAAATTAAAAAAATATTCAAGTGGGGCTCCCATACAACAGACATGATTGTTTTGCCCTTTGTGTAGATCACGGAACCCTTCGTGCCCGAGTCCGACTCTCACTCGGCCGGTTATTTTATTTAAACGAACACCAACACATTGACGTATGTACATGCACGGTGGTAGGGCCACGCAGCAGCCCCGGCTGTTGCACGAACGGGCAGGCCCGTCCGGGTAAGTACCACGACCTCACAGAAGACCAGCGTAAAGTGGAAGTATGACAAATACTTTGCGTTTCGTCTGGCGTGTGAGGTAGCCGGAGCCCAATTTTCAAAAGGTTGTCAACCTCGGGTGAAGCAGATGTCCACGGGCGGCGGTATTCACTAACCTTCAGGTGAAACATCTGCTCGTTTGGCAACTTTTCACATAAAAAAAAACCCACACACGTAGGCCAACCCATACACGGCAGGCGTCGACTAACTCCTGTACTCGATCCACAGGCCGTCATGGCGCTTACCGCCCCGCTGGCGTACCCGGTCAGCAAGCTCCTGGACTACTTCCTCGGCGAGGAGATCGGCAGCGTCTACAACCGGGAGAGGCTGAAGGAGCTGGTCAAGGTAGGACCTAGGACCTATCCCATTAGTAGTCGATGCTTCTTCTTTAGTAAAGTAACATCGTATACGTCCCACTGCTGGACAAAGGTCCTCCTCTGTACATAGTGCACCACACGACCACACCGGGTTTGGCAGACTTCACATGTCTACTATATTCTTTATTACGATTTCGAACGTAGAAAGATTTCCTTACCATTTTTTTCCTTTACCGCCGAGCTCTTGATAAATCATCTCTTAAGATCGCAATTCACAATTCCATTGGTGCCAGCACAGCGATTGATAACCTATGACTGAAGTGAATATACGGTTACTCGAGTATATTGAATCAAGAGCGAGCGTCCAAAGACTGAGCACTGCTCTTTTAGAGCGTCAATCATCCGCCCATTGTCTTCTGCAACCTTTAAGGAGGTGGATCTCAATACTTTACTCTCCAGACCAAATGCAAGGTCTCAGTCAAGGGATGGATTGGGATATGGTGCTTCCCTACTCGAGTCGACCAACTCATGCATTCAGACTCTGTTGTATTGCTTTACAAGACTACGATCATCCTAAAATTATTCTGATGACGATAGTCTAGAACAGGGGTGAGCAACCTTTTTAATCAATGGGCCAATATAAATTTCAAATTTTTTGGCGAGCCGCACATAATAATTGACGAAACTTTACTTATAATAAATATTAGAATGAAAAAATATAAAATTAAAATAAAGTAAAGATTTCATATACAAATTTTAATGCAAGGTAAAATATTTTTTTGTTCGTTTTTCTGTTATTATTAATATTTTTGTTCAGTATGTACTACCATTTTATTATAATTAATTTCATAACAATATATCGATGGGAAAAAATCGTTAATATAAATTCAATATTAGAAATGCTTGGCGGGCCGCAAAAACATGTTTAACGGTCCGCGAGCGGCCCGCGGGCCGCGCGTTTCAAATCCTTGGTCTAGAATCTAGAAGATGTGTGAGCGAAGGTTTACGACCGCTGCATATGAGCATTGGGTGGCTAGCAGTTCAGTTGCCATCATTTAAGAAGGTAGATCATCAGTTGCTTGGCTTGACGAAACGCAGAGGTAATCTTTACTCCGGTCTTGTAAGAGCGTGGGTTATACAGGGTGATTTATTAGACGACGTATATACTCTGACATAATGTTAATTGAGCGTTCCATAATTCAAAAAAAAATATTAATATTTTATTTTGACAAGAAATAACCAGAAAAATATCAATTCAAACATTGTTTGTATATCCCGTCAAGAGTGGTCACCCTATTGATAAGCGGTTTAGTAATTATGTGTTCAGCGAAAAGTTTTAGTGCTCGTCAATAGGCGTATTGAGTATTGAGACGTTAAGGCAGGAATTTCTTAAGGTGTCCATAATGTTTGAAAAAATTAAAAATAATCGTTGAAAAAAACCAGAATCATATTTAGAATCAAATTCTGCATAATATGCTCTGTTAATATATCCGTCGTCTATAAAATCACCCTGTGTAACCCAATGCATTTGAGTGGCAGAGTTCACACTCTAACGGCGATCCCGATGACTCGACATCCATTGATTCGCTGACCTTAGTCGTTTCAACCTAGTTGTAGAATTATCGGCGTGCGATCTCATTCGCCTGACCCAAATACCTTGGCGCGGACGTTAACCTCGAAATCTGAGGAGGAAACTACGGTGATAACTTAAATCTCTCCGGTGGGGACGTTTCGAAAATTATTGTTAAGAAAAGTTGAGGCCCTGAGACTCAGCGATGTTGAATCACACTCGTCGAATGGTTGAGTTGTGGAAAAGTTGAGGCCCTCAGCCTTAGAGGTTGTGATGTCAATCCGACAGCTTGCCAATATTATGGTACCCGGAATATATGTCTTTTGTGCTTGTTTAAAAACTCTTCTGTAGGATAACATCATCCCGTGTTGTAAGAACGTTTTGCAAACATTGAATTTCACCGAATCGTACTTGTGGCAAGCGAACTGGCGGTCCTCCTGATGTTAAGTGATAACCGCCGCCCGTGGACATTTGTAGCACACGTAGGCTGGCAACGCATCTGCCGCCTGCCACAGTAGGGTGGCAGATGCGTTGCCACCTTTTAATAAAGTGAGCCACTACGCAACCCCATATGCTTTTTTAAATATTACAAAACACTCACGCGTGACGGAGACTTTATATCCCATCATAGCTTTCAAGCCATTTACATTGAAAGTGCGCAATAAAAAAACGTGTCAAAAATTATGTCAAGGGGATCGTAAAAGTATTACGTAATCAAGCTGAGAGGGAGGACACCTTATCTTACTTTCGCTAATAAATGGGGCGGAATCCAACGCGGGACATTTGTATTTGAGTGCCCCACAGATAATTGTTTCGTATCTGGGTGTGGTAACATCGCTTAACGACCTGCCAGTCTACTGACAGCGTCATTAAAAGCGGAAGACGACATAGACGCATATAATAAATAATAATAATAATAATTGATGTTTTTGTTCTTTACTATTTGTTTAAATATACCTTAATTATTATTAAAAATATCTAAAAAGGGCAATTGATTTGTTCTCGCTATTGAACTGAACCCACGACCCCAAATCTCAAGTGGGACGCAAGACACTAGACAACCTATACTTGTATCATCATCCTCGTGCCCTTATCCCATCTAGATGGGGTCGGCACGAGGATGATGATGTGAATCATGTTGTAAGCTTTGGTTACGTTTTTTTTACGACCAGCCGCCTGCCTGACGTCAACCCTCTTAAGGAAATGAATACCCAGATCCGGAACGAGTAATTGTGGGTCACAAAATACTTGACGTGTGAGAATCGAACCCACGACCCTCGACACGGAAGTTAATAGCTTATCAAGGACGCCATCGAGTCATACAACCAATACTTGTATGCCACCTAAAACGCGTATATAAAAATCCATACTTGGAAGACTTTACTAAGTATGAATAGATGCCGCTGACAGTATCCCGCATTGTGGTCGTATTTAGGTGTGGAATTTTGGCAGGCGCAGCGCTACCAATGCCGGTTGTTCCACAAATATGTCCATGCAGAATTGAAGCGTCACGTTGTCCATAAATCTGTGATTTCTGCGGATGGATACATTTTATGTGGTTCGCTAAAATTGTTCCTTATTACGTGAGTTCAAGCGCTTGCGTAGATCTTTATGCGCAAACTGTTAAGTTTAGGCGTCGATCATTTCGATGATACGTCGGGATTTTTGCGGGAAAGAAGAACGCGAGGGAACTAGATCAGTCAATAAATGTGACTATGAAATGTGACAAAAAACCCGAATGCACTGTCATCCGGTTTTTTGTCTCATTCTTCAATGTCGAATATGTCAAAAGGTTGAGGCTGTGGAGCGTATCAAAGAATTAGTCACACCTAAATATGATTTCGATCGTAAAACTTTACCACTTCTGTAGTAGAGCCAGAGTTAAAGACAATGAGACATAAACAGGTGATGTATTACATGTAATATGTCGGGTAGCGATAGTTTTTGTAGTTGTTATAAGGACTACAGCTTCAGTTTGGTTAGTACTTCTTCTTTGTGGTCATCATTACTGAAGGTCATGACCGTCTTGAAAAGCTTTTACAGAATCCGTGAAGAACGGCTTCCACATCATAGTGGCAACAGTAAGCCCGGTTATTAGTTTTATTTGATCTGATCTACTGTTAGGTGATACAACAAGTATACAGGCACACAAAGTTAGGAGGTTCTTATCTCATCCGGCATCTTTAATAATATTGACTATATATGCTTCTTTCTTCTGAAAATGATATTTACAAGGTGGCGTTTGGTGGCTGATTGGCTATACTTTTTTACAACCAGCCGCCTGCATGACTCAAACCTTATTGGGAAAATACACCCTGATAAGGAACAGTTATCTGTGGGTCACACAAATATTGGTCCATTGTGGGAATCGATCCCACGTCTCAAGACACTGAAGCTAATAACTTACCAACTGCCCCACCGAGCAATCCAATATTCAATATATTTATATATTTTTTTTAAATTAGATTTGTTTAATATATGCTTACCATAATTACTGGATTAAATCACTTATGAGAAAAATTTTACATGTAAAATTAAAGCTTATACACATTTAAAGGTAAAGTTCACCATAGATTGGCCAGTTCATGCACACCCTACTGGCGAGATACATGCCAATAATGCTTGACACCTGCGCTTGTCATCGTACGCTTAGTAATGCCACGATGTATTATATACGACTTTTCTAACACTGTCCATTTCACTAGATTTAAAACGTATACACGTGCTGGCGTCTGAGTGATGACTTTGTTGTTATTCAGATGCTCACTAAATGCAACAAATTAATTTTAATGCATATACGTATAGGCGATATCGTGATAAGTGCATATCTCTGTTATATATATCTATATCTGGTACAGACTTTACTTTTAGAAGCATTGAAAATTCTAGTTGGTAAAAGATTTAAAACATAAAAAGCCAAACCTTCAGTTTCTCCATTAAAAGATGTTTTTTCTTTATTAATAATCATATCAAAAATGTGTCAATTATTCGTAGCCAGCTATTTCATTTGGCGCTTCTCAAAGTAATGATTATGCTTATTCGATTAAAAAGTTTCAAACTTAGTGTTTAAAAATTAGTGTCAAACTATTAGGTAGTACGCGAGATATTAAGTGATTATTCCCGCCCATAGTTGTAAACATCTAAAACACCTGTAGGGTTGCAAACGCATTACCAGCCTTTCGAACTCTTAATATAATTCCACTTCATGGTCTCCTTTGGGTATGCGGTACTTCCCCAGATACGCCCCTCTCATTTGTGCAACGGCGGATTCCACGTCGTACTGTGGATCCGATGGTTGCAATTGATATGATAATATAGCATGTTCTGTTAGATTCGTTATAGATTAAAACTCAGGGCTACACGCTTGGATGGCTTTACCAAATATTCAATGCTACGAAGACCTAGATGTAGAACAGATAGCATTCATCTGATTTGCACACAAAAAGCGCTTGGATTTCCTCAAGGAAGTGTTTTAGGACCGGAACTTTATTTTTAAAATCTTTTGTCTATTCCTTTTTCGGAGTCCGTTCAAGCGATTGAAAAACCAATGCCGTTACCACAAAAAAATATGTCGAAGTAACATTATTTTTAATAAATCTGCGTATTGGTTATCTTGGAATTCGAGCCAAGTTAAATTAGAGTTAAGTTAGTTGAAAGTCGTTGCCAACCATAAAAATAGTGTACCGGTAACCTAACTCACCAGACGATACGCGACCGTATACACTTCCACTTCACGCCGATTTTTGAGGTTTTTGTGGTTTGGCACTTCCGGACGGGCCTGCCTATACGAGCAACATGAGAAGCTGCTGTATGGCACTACTACGATAAAAATGTTTTGCATTATATATATACAACAAACATGTATGTATATGTGTTTACATGGAAATACTTTCGATTGCGAATTGTTCTTGATAACATTTTATAATATTACTGCATATGTCATATCGATTTACATACATGATCGTGCTCTAGCCCATTTAGAGTTTATCCAGAAAGGTCCAACGGTACTGTTTAAAGAGTTAAGAGAGGCAGTTTGAGAATTAGGTGTGTACCTTAAGCAAAATTTTAATCACAATCTGGTAAGCTGTAAAATCCTTGTATCTTAATTGGAAGACATTGTACTCGGACAGGAAAACTAACGCTGGCATCACTCCTATGGCTTTCGCTAGGGGGCAAACCTCGTAGTTGATTTAACATCCATTTCTGGTCCAACAGCTTCTCGAAGATTTTAGATTTTGAGTCTTTCCATTTGTGTATAATTCCTGTTTAATTGTTTCACACGGAACTAATGTAGTATATGGTAAGTCGAAAAATAAGTATATATTTATATCAAACAATAATGCATGGAAACACGTTTCGACGTCGCCCCGGATCGGATGTGTGCGCCCTTTTCCAAATTTTGCAATCCGTTGTGTGTTCATTGGCAGTTAGAATGCTTTATAACAAGGTTGACTGGGTTCGAATCCTGTCTAATATGGTTTATTGTTTTACCGTATCTTTTTCATTTAACTTTCTATTTCTACCCAGGCTCATATCTTTCCTCTGGTGCCCAAGGCTTCGTAATTGGCGATTTTAGATAAACATTTGAATTTCCTAATAAGAATTCAACCAAAGACATCAAAGCTTGCCCCGAAATTCTTCAATCTCCTCTCCTCGCCTTTACTAGATACCTTTGATTTGAGAAAGTCTTTGACATCTCACAAGAGTCTGATGAAGATACGGTGTTATTACCTATGTCTTGTAATAAGTTCAGTATTACATAGTCTGGTTTTTAGTTTTTCTTTCAAGGTCGCTTTTAAATGTTCATATCTATAAAGACACTCACTGTAGACTTTCGACGTATTAAAAATAATCTCGGACCAAAATTTATCCCTAAACAATTTGGTTCTTTACATGATTGGTCGATTTTCTTGGATTCCGGATTGGGTCTTGTTGCAACCCTGAAATTGTTTAAGCTTGCATAGACCTTTTTTTTATTTTAAATTGCTCGTTTTTATTATGAGATAAGCGTTTCGATCGAAGCGTTTTCGTATATGAAACTCATCACTAAGCCAGCCACTTGAACAACAAAGAATTTAAGTAATACTTTGAGGATACAGTCTAAGTATCGACCCAATTGCAATATTTCTTTAATATACAACCAAACTATAAAACCGACTTGAAATGCTATCTCCCACACTATATATTCGCTATTTCATTTAAGGTCCAACCAATTAAATCAATATGGGACAACACGGAAGAAAAAGTGAATCCGATGCAAAAGAATTTCTAATATCATTTCGCAAATGACGCGGTTCCGAGTTAAAAAAACATACAAAAATGCATCCTAATCGAGTACCTCCTCCTTTTTTGCAGTTGGCTGAATAGTAAGAATGGCATCCTGGTCTTGTTTCGTGTTTTGTTGTGTACCTTTTATTTACCTGACATATTATCAAACCCGCTAGAAACCGTCTTGCTCGTCCCCTCAGTTACCAATAGTTTGTACACTCTGCACTGATGTTGGAAGCGTTGCTAAAATGTGCCACAATAAACCTAACGACACGTTAGAAAGAGAGACATGTAAGCGAAAGAGACAGGGAGCCTCTTTGACCTGCAGTAAGCTATATGGCTTCCATTATATGGTTCACGGTGACTTGGTGAGCCCCATTTCAATATCGGACCAGCCCTCCCTTGAGTAGCTTAAACCATTGTCGTTGTATTCCTGAAGTCAACCTTGAATTCATTCCCCTAATGCCTCAGCCGGCGTTTCCAAGGGGTCCAAATTATTATCATTCTCTCCCCTAATGCCTCAGCCGGCGTTTCCAAGGGGTCCAAATTATTATCATTCTCTTATGGACGCATCCCTGATAGTTGAAACACTGACAGATTCAGACCTCCGGCTAAAACCGCTTTGTTGAGGCACAAGAGTAACGGTACTGCCTTATTTGAATTGGAGCTAGCCTGAATTTCTCCAGATAAAGTAGTACACACCAAACTAATTACCAAAGTTAACCAGTCAACTTCGTTTTGTAATGCTTTTAAATCAACCGATATTATGTATCGACACCATACGATGTAGATGGGAAATTAATTGCGAAATAAATCAATATCGGAAGTTATAACGATGTAGCAAGCGAATAGTTTTATGGTGTAGTATGAGAAACGTCCAAACATTAGTCATTGAGAAAGTTCTGGAAGGTTTTAAAGCTGCTAAATCGGAGTTTCAAAGATCAGGGGTGCGTCTCACCACATCGGTGGTCTTTTCCGTGCCGAACCGCGACCTTCTGCTCCCCCCAAGGTCACCACCGACGTGAACGACCTGGACAAGGACGAGGTGAACATCATCTCCGGTGCCCTGGAGCTGCGCAAGAAGACCGTCTCCGACGTGATGACGAAGCTGGAGGACGCCTTCATGCTGCCCATCACCTCGATCCTGGACTTCGAGACTATGTCGGAGATCATCAAGTCTGGTGAGTGGACATGTTTATGTGTCACTAGCTGTGCCCGCGACTTCGTTCGCGTGAAATTTTAAGTAAAAAAAAATCTAAAATAAAAGTAGCCTAATTACATTTGCTATCTGCCAGTAAAAATCTCGTCCTAATCGGTCCAGCCGTTTCAGAGATTAGCCGGAACAAACAGACAGACAGACAAAAATTGTAAAAAATATTATTTTGGTATATGTACCGTGTATAGATACGCATTTGCATTTAGTATCACACATATTCATTTAGTAAGAAGCGGTTATTTTAATGTTACAAACAGACGCTTCAATTTTATTTATCTATATATTTTTATTAGTATATTTTTAACCGACTTCAAAAGGAGGAGGTTCTCAATTCGACTGTTTTTTTTTTATGTTTGTTACCTCAGAACTTTCGAATGAGTGAGCCGAATTTGATGATTCCTTTTTTATTTGGAAGCTGGTGGTCCCATGTTAATTTCATTGGTAATTGGATCTTGGGCTCCCGGTGATACAGAGCGAGACATTTGGAGTCGGTTTTGTTTTTGCTTAGTAAAGGAATGGTAATTTTTAAATATGTTTGTGCACCTACCTCAACTTCTTGGGTACCGCCGTTAGGTTGACTGGTAGAAAATGCTGTCAGCATTAAGTCCTCCTATGTACATAGTTTTGTGCATGACGTTTTAAAAAATAAAAACGTAACTATTAATGGGTCTTCCCGAGTCGATGTGTATTGTAGGCGTGCTGCAATGATTTTTTTATTTAATTCGGTTTAATGCCACTTAAAAATTTTAATGATAATTAATGATTACATAATTCAATTAAATCTTTAGAGCACGGACATAAATGTTTACAATGGGGAGACGTAAAAAAGTCTGAAGTCCACAAACAACCTTTATAACGTCTTAATATGCGGTACATCATCATAGAACAATGGTTCTCCAACTCTCCAAATTTCAATAGAAATGTTGTTTAAAGTGTGCCTATTAACATAAATGCAATTAACTGTTTGACTACGATGTCACACGGTTCTGATGCAGTCTCTAAACAGTACATAATAAATTATGCAATATGACGTCGAAGATATTATAATCGAGACGTTTAATTAATGACCTCTTTTACTACTACCGTTTGCGCAAACAATGGGCGATGATTCATCCGACATTCCACCATCGAACAGGTGTTGAGGACGCCTAGTAATGTTTTTCACCAACTGGACACTCGGTCATAAATAATAGTGAGTTTAGAGCGGTGAGCGTGTTTGGCATCGTAAAACAGTTATCGATAAAAACGTACTACACGTGCAAAATATTGTACCGATAATTATTTTTACCCGACTGCGCCGGAAGGAGGGTTATGTTTTTCTAGAGTATGTATATATGTATGTATAATTGTTTGGCACGCTCTGCAGCCAGAACGGCTTGATGGGTTTTAGCTTGAGGGGTGATCGTTAGATTCGTATTTACTGTGAGAGCGACTCCTCCACTTCACGCCGGTCGTCTGTGAGGTCGTGGTACTTACCCGGACGGAGCTCCCCATGCGTGCAACTGCGAAGACTGTCGCGTCACTGACCCTACCACGGTTAAATACCGAGTAATAAAAAAGGAGGATATAATTTAAAAAAAAAAAACTTAAGAAAACCCGACTGCGTTTCTGTGTATTTTTAGTACGTACATTATTAGTAAACAACTCAACTTTATTAGCAAAAATATCTAATTTCCGCAAACTGACGAGCACTCGATTAGCATTAAGTGAATCGTTGGTATATTTGCTACCTCTTTTCTGACAAATTCATCACTCGCTCCAGCCAGGTTAAATCCTCACCATCCTCTGTCGTTCCCCAGGCTACTCCCGCATCCCCGTCTACGAGGGGGCGCGCGGCAACATAGTGACGGTGCTGTTCATCAAGGACCTCGCCTTCGTGGACCCCGACGACAACACGCCGCTGAAGACCCTCTGCCAGTACTACCAGAACCCGTGCAACTTCGTCTTCGAGGATGTCACCCTCGACGTGATGTTCAAGCAGTTCAAGGAAGGTGAGGGACTTGCCGGGAATTCCCCGGTGCTTGGAGTAAGACTGTACACCTGTCAAAACAAGTATAAAGACTACTTAGTCTTGTATTATCACTGCGGAAGCAAAGAAAAGGAATGACCTGTAGAGTTGGCTGTAATTTTTGACGGTCTAGTATAATATCGTCGTAGTTTTTCTTTCTCCTGTCTGTGTCAGCACAACATATAACTTAAGTTGGTAATTGGCTAAATTTTTACAGAGAATAAACGTCCGTAACAATCATCTATGAGTCACGAAAATACTTGCATCTTGTAGGAATCGAACCCAATCATTCACTACACCAATAGCTTGCTTAGCAACTGTGCCACCGAGCCATCGTAGTTGCCATTGAAAATGCTTGTAAATCCATAATGCAAATATAAATTGTAATAATGCTGTATGCACTATTTTATTGTCTCGCGAAATTGTTTCATTTGACAACAAGTTTGTGCTCCTACCAGGTCATAAAGGCCACATGGCTTTCGTTCACCGCATCAACAACGAGGGCGAGGGGGATCCCTTCTACGAGACGATGGGCCTCGTGACCCTGGAGGACGTCATCGAGGAGATGATCCAGGCCGAGATCGTGGACGAGACGGACGTGTTCAGTGAGTATCCGGCGCGAAGGACCAAAAGTGTATAGTGTACACATTAGTAGAGTAGTGTGTACATAGGCTGAATCGCCAACTTGCTTGCCACATTGTCACATAAAAAAAATTAACTTACTTCGCTCAGCAGTATGACAACACGCATAGCAATGTATTATTTAAGTCTCAATTTCAGCTAAAGAAGGTTGTTTGAAACTAATTGGCAATATTAAAATATTATAAATCTATAGTTTTGTGTCTCTTTTGCAAACATGAAGTTATTTACTTGGATCGTGTCGCTAATACTGTGTTTACGTGTGTAAGAAACGCTGTAAAGAAAAAACGACCGAGATAGATGCTTTACATTGCCTCTTTTGTTATGAAAAACAAATAACCCTCAACTGACACCCCGCAGTGGACAACCGTACGAAGCGGCGCAGGAACCGGCCGCAGAACAAGCTGCAGGACTTCGCCGCTTTCGCCGAGCGCCACGAGAACCAGCGGATTCACATATCGCCCCAGCTCACGCTTGCCACCTTCCAGTTCCTGAGCACCAGTGAGTTCATTCTGTTCCTTAATACCGTATCCTGTTTTGTTCTGGTGTCCCTTTATATCTCTGCGTCTGAGAGGTACTAAAACCAGCTGAGTCATGCCGACTTCCGACTCCCGAGCATTATTTATTCCCGTTTGCTGCTGTTGTATCGTCCCCTTCTCACTCTCTCTTCTTCGTCTTCCAATTCCTGAGCATCAGTTAGTTCAACCTGTTCCTGTACTATCCCCCTTTTATTCTGGTGTCCTTTTTTCCTCTCCGTCTGAGAGCCACACAACCAGCTGAAGCCACTTTCCAGTTCCTACCACCAGTGACTTTATTCTGTTCTGCCCTTAAGCACTGACAACCCAATTTGGACTACATAACTTAGGTGTGAACGTTTGTCTACTTATATCCTCCTGACCGACGAAATCCGCGATACGTGTTTCGAACTTCTGTCGTGCCTTTAAACTTAAGTCTCCCACAACTTTGAACTTAACTCTCCCTCACGCTCGACTATGGCTCTCCAATCTTCCTTCTCGTCTCCCCCATTATCGAACTTGACCTCTACCCCATCTTCAAACTTAACTCTCTCCATCTTCTAACTTGACTCTCCCACATCTTCGAGCTTCACTGTCCGTCATCTTCGTGCTCGAGTCTACGCATCTTCGAACTTCTATTTGCCCGTTCCGTATTGCAGGTGTGGACGCGTTCCGCCCTGACACCGTCTCCGAGACGGTGCTCCGCCGCCTGCTGCGGCAGGACGTGATCCAGCACATCAAGGTGAAGAACAAGGCGAAGCGCGACCCCTGCACGTACGTCTTCCAGCAGGGGAAGCCTGTAAGTACTCCGAATACTCGTCACTACATAGTGTAAAACGAAGATTATAACAGTCTTATTAGCTATATTTCATTTAAACAAATTGTCAATAGATGGCGTTATCATACATTATTTATAAGAAATTTTTGAACGAAAGATTTTTTATAACCAAATATATTGTTCCTTGTCTATTTTACATAGTATAAAACATGTTCGTCCCGCTGTCTGTCCGTCACTATGTACGCTTAGATCTTTAAAACTGCGAAACGTATCATGATGCGGTTTCTTTTACTAGATAGAGTCATTGAAGAGGAAGGTTTATTTGTATAATACAATGCACCCGCGCGATGTCGGGGCGAGTCGCTAACATATTATAAACTAGTTGTGCCCGCGACTTCGTCCGAGTGGAATTTAAAAGTAAATAAAATATCTAAAAAAATAACCATTTTTTTTATTAACGAAAAACGAATCCGACTTCAGACATCTCGGTCTGTATTCATTTTATAATTGATTTTCACGAGTTTCCTGCGTGTCTCCGGAGCCCAAGGCCCAATACCAATGAAATTAATATGGGACCTCATGGGAAGCACAGCACCGGCTTACAAATAAAAAAAGAATCATCAAAATCTGTTCTCTCAGAAAGTTCCGAGGTAACAAACATAAAAAAATACGAGTCGAATTAAGGTCGAATTATAAGTTACTCCTTATTATATCAGCCAGTTCTAGTTTAGTGGCAAGTTTCCGAGATTAGCCTGAACGAACAGACAAAGATTAAAAAAAAAATATTTTGGTACATGTAGCTTGCATACATCCGTATGCATTTAGTAAAAAGCGGTTATTTTAATATTAGAAACAGACCATCAAATTTTATTTGTTTGTATAGATTAGGGATGGGTCGTATCGCTTTTTCTGAGTACCGTATCTGAATCCGATATCGATTTCAAATATCAGATTTCGAAACTATGTATTTTAATATCTAGATATTTTACGGTTCCCTATCCACGTTCATTAATTGAAAAAAAAATTAAAAAAAATTGTATACTTTAAGGGAGTGGATATAAGATGAATGAAATAACTTCCCTTCATACTTTTTCCAGGCTTAGGACTGGCTGCAATATTTCATACTTATTATAAATATAAAATTGTGCAGGCGTATTTAAAAGTTGATTCATTCTATGTACATAATTTTCCTTATATTTAAAACTTAACATTATATATTTACAATTATGTCAGGGTTAATAATTATTTATATCCCTCCGGGTTCAAATTCACGTTTAGGAACGTAAGCTCTCTGACTTTATTCGTCGAAAGTCTTGTTCGACGATCATTAATAATTAACCCTGTCTTACTAAAAATGCGTTTTTTTTAAATTATTAAATTAAAAATTTCATTAAAAATATAAATTGAAGTAATATAAAAATGATTTATTTTAACATCTTATATACCGCTTAATAATTGACGTTAACATATTTTTAGAACACGCAATCGAGTGGCAATATTTTTATTATTTGTGTAAGAAATAATACATTCAGTATTATAGCTTAGGGCGGAAGAATTTAAAATATACACACTAGGCACATACCGTAATTCGTATTTAAATGCAACAGAGTTTTTTTCCATGCTGTTAAGATTCAAAATTACTTAACTGCGCGCTTTGTCGCCCGTTACGGCTCAAGGCTAAACAAAACAATAAAAATATAATAATATCGTTGTAGTAATCGCTGATACCAAGATTAGTATTTAAATGAAACGGATCTTATTTGCATGGTGTTAAGATTCAAAATTACTTAACTTATTCATAATATCTGTTTAAAAATCTGATATCGTGCATTGCTTGCCGTCCCACTCTAACTAGTAAGTGTTTATATCTCACGCGCTTTTTCGTCGCTCGATATCTGATATCGTGCATTGCTTGCCGTCCCACTCTAACTAGTAAGTGTTTATATCTCACGCGCTTTGTCGCTCGATATCTGATATCGTGCATTGCTTGCCGTCCCACTCTAACTAGTAAGTATTTATATCTCACGCGCTTTGTCGCTCGATATCTGATATCGTGCATTGCTTGCCGTCCCGCTCTAACTAGTGAGTATTTGTATATCACGCGCTTTGTCTCTCGAAATCTGTTTAAAAATCAGATATTGTGGCAAACGCGTATGATATCGCCGTATCGCGATTCGTGTCGGTATAGCGAGCGAGCACGGTACATCAGATTTGGGAAATATCAGATATTGTAAAATACATAGATATTGAACGAGCCAGTAAGCGATATTGGGATATTGTACTAATATCTAGTTTTCATATCTGATACGATTTGTATCGCCCACTTCTAGTATAGATGTATAGATATTTGATGTTTTGATCATTATGGTTGCCAGTTATGTGCGTTCGGTTGTCGATTTGCCTCAATACATTGTTACGATTACTTGATTGACCTCTTGACAGGTTCAAACCACTTTCTTGATCTAGTTATAAATTGTTACTCTAGAATAAAAACAGTTAACTATCTCATTCCGAAAGATTTTATTTTTAAAAATTTTAAATGTAATATTTTCTGTAATATGTTTAGTATGCTCTATATGTTATTTCTTCAATATTGAAGAAACGCAGAAAGAATAATTATTGTTGATCTTTCGTTCAAAATTTTCCTGTAAATAATGTATGATAACGCCATCTATTGACGATTTGTTTGAATGAAACATAACGAAGAAGACTTTATTACCGTTTGGCACGGTACTAGGCAAACATTTCGCATAGATCAACTAGTTTAAGTCGAACTATTTTAAACAGAAAAAGATTATTTACACCGATAATTCGTGCAGAGAGTGTACAAACTTGACAAAGTAAACATATACGTCATTGTATATCTCTCTCCCTCTCTTCGCAGGTCGACTACTTCGTGCTGATCCTGGAGGGCCGCGTGGAGGTGACCGTCGGGAGGGAGAACCTCGTCTTCGAAGCCGGACCCTTCACCTACTTCGGGGTGCAGGCGCTGACGCAGAATATCGGCGTTGGTAGGTTCCGTACAGTACTCTCTTTTCAAATTTTTTTTTAAAAACATTGCCCTTACTGTAGGATAACATTATCCTGTGTTGTAGGGACGTTTTACAAACATAAATTTGACGCGGACAAACGCCCAGATGCGAAACAACTACCTGTGGGTCACACAAACAGTTGTCCCGTGCGGGAATCGAACCCATGACCCCCGACGCCGAAGCCAATACCTTGGCAACTGTGCCACGGAGTCATCAAAATTACCATTTTCTTACTAACGAAAAACAAAACCGACTTCCAATATCTCGCTCTGTATTCATTTTATAATTGATTTCCCTAAGTATCTCCGGAGCCCAAGATCCAATACCAATGAAATTATATTGTATACGACCACACGGGAAGCACCGGCTTTCAAATAATAAAGGAATCATCAAAAACGGCTCGCTCAGTCGAAAGTTATGAGGTAACAAACATAAAAAAAAATACAGTCGAATTGAGAACCTCCTCCTTTTTTGAAGTCGGTTGAAAAGTGGCCTAAGTTAGTCCTTATTACATCAGCCATCTGCCAGTGAAAGTTCAGAGATTAGCCTGAACAGACAGACAGACAAAAAAAAAGTATTTAGGTACATGTACCTTGCATACATCCGTATGTATTTAAGCGGCTATTTTAATATTAGAAACAGACCCTCAAATTTTATTAATTTGTGTAGATGTATGGATAAAGGAGGAGGTCATTTTGAAGTCGGTTAAAAAGGTTTGTTACCTCAGAACTTTCGACTGAATGAATCGATAATGATGATTCTTTTTTTTATTTGAACGCTGGTCCTCCTCATGTGGTCCCATATTAATTTCATTAGTGTTGGATCTTGGTCGCCGGGGATACTTAGGGAGCTCGTGAAAATCAATTCGGTTTTGTTTTTCGTTAATAAAAACATTGAGTCATGTGAAAAATTTGCAAGCTTGATAGCTCAGTGTCCGGGCGCTCGCCTTTAATTCAATATACTCGAGCAACCTGAGTTCGATCCCCGGTGCCGGCACCAATGAAGTTTTTAACTTTAAGTGCTGACTTATCACGTGCTCCGCGGTGAAGGAAAACATCGTGAGGAAACATGCATATTTTCGAAATAATAACAAAAAAATATTTCGAAGATATGTGAAGTCCGCCAATCCGCAGTGGGGCCGCGTGGTGGACTATGCCCTGATCCGCTCTGTATATAGGAGGCCTTTGCCCAGCAGTGGGACATGTATAGGCTGTTACTTTACGTTTTTTTATATGTATTCTTAAACCTAATATCTTTGTGGTATTAGTGTTCGTGTGCTATCGTTTGGTTTCTCAGATTTTCATTTTTAACAACAGGTTACTATTTTATCTAAATTTAAAGTTGTTCGTGCAAATGTAGCTTCTAAAAATTTCAACTGTGAGTGTGCGCTAGAAGTGTAGATGAATATAAATGAAATTATAAAAAAAAATGTAGATAAAAGACCTTAAAATTTTCGTCGGTGTGGCAATCAGCCGCTTAGCTTAGCGGGTAAAGCGTCAGGCCGCGAATGCCGAAGTCGTGGGTTCGAATCCCACAGCGGCGACGATCTTTCCGTACATTTTCTACATATTTTAATGCTCAATCTAAAATGCAGAGATTAGGACTATAAAATTTTTAATTAATAAATGAAATTTTGAATCTTTCAATATATCTCTTCTGTATATTTCTTTTACTACGTAATTTTTCTCAAAAACGCTTGGCAACCCTGTCCGACGTTAACATTTGCCGGTGTACCCCCCCAGCCGAGTCGCCGACCCCCTCCGCGATGGGCTCCCTGCAGAACATAAACGTGGACTCGATGCTGAGGCACACCTTCGTGCCGGACTACTCGGTGCGCGCCACCGCGGAGCTGTTCTACCTCACCGTCAAACGGTTGGTGCCGCCGCTGGCCCCTTGGGGGGAGGCTGTTTTATATATAAGTACCCAACAGTGTACATAAGTACCCAACAGTGAACATAAATACCCAACAGTGTACGTAAGTACCCAACAGTGTACATAAGTACCCAACAGTGTACAAATGTGTACGAATAAGGATGGGGGAGGTGAAACGCCTCTGCAGGCCTGAGGGCGTTGCAAAGTGCTTGTAACTATGGCGTAAATGAAGTAAATTGTTATGCAGCTTCTGTTTATTTTCTGTCTCCCTCCGCCGCAGGTCGCTCTATCTGGCGGCGAAGCGGGCCACCCTCATGGAGAAGGGCGCCCTCTCGAAAGGTGCCACCAACGAGCAGTTCGACACCGAAGTGGACAAGGTATGGGGGGGGGGGAGATCTTTTTTTTATTCTTTTGCTAGCAGATGAGAGGCGGGGTCGTTTTTCCTTTTGCCGCAGACCCTAAAAGGTTCTTCTAATGTCTCTTGACGGTTCCCATTTCGAAGTGTAACTTCTTAGGTGACTCGATAATCGAACGAGAGTTGAGCGGGAAATTACTAGGACTTTTTACTGTGGTAGGGCCATGCAACAGTCTTCGCTGTTGCACGGTTATGCAGGTCCGTCGGGGTAAGCACCACGATCTCACAGAAGGCCGGCTCGAAGTGAAAGTGTGGGGGGACCCTCTTTATTTCTTTCTTTTTCTTTTTTTTTTCTTTTTTTGGTTAATAAACATTGCCCTTACTTTAGGATAACATTATCCTGTGTTGTAGGGACGTTTTACAAACATAAATTTCACATTAGACAAACACCCAGATGCGAAACAACTATCTGTGGGTCGCACAAATAGTTGTCCCGTGTGGGGATCGAACCCACGACCCCCGACGCCGAAGCCAATACCTTGGCAATAACGCCACGGAGTCATCATCATTTATTAAAAGGTGGCAACGCATCTGTGGCAGACGTGACCTACGGGTGTTGCAAATGACCATGGGTGGGTGTTATTACTTAACATCAGGTGAACCGCCAGCCAGCTTGCCAACTTCTCATATAAAAAAAAATCTCTTAATGGTTCTTAACTTATTTTGAAGTGTAACTTCTTATGTGACTCGATCATTGAACGAGAGTTCGGAGAGAAATTTCTAGGACGCGTTTAGGCACATTTCGTTAAATGAGGGAGATGGAAGATAAAACGCGAGAGCGACTTACATAGAAAACATAGTAGAACAGGATAATAAGATAACAGTAGTTGTGTTATTAAAATGTGTCAGTGTTTCTTAATTATCCACTTTGTTCGAGAAGCGTGTACGGCGCTATACGCGCATTCATTTTTTTATAATCGTAGACCCAAAGAGGCCTAAGGCCCCAGCCAATTCGGGCTCGATAGTTTCTTGCTAATTATTATAATCAACACGAGAAACAACATCGCGTTTCGACGGCCATTTCATTCCGTTAATGTCAAACGGAAGCGTACTACGCTGAGAATCGAACCGGCATCTAGCCAGACAGGAAAGCACCTCGAGCTTCGTGTAGAGCACGGAACGGAAAGTTCAAGCGGAACGGTAAATAATTAATGTCGACGATCATCCTAATGTTGCGTGTGACGAAATTTAGAAGTATTCGTAATTTTTTTTTTTCGGGTCAACCAAATAATTTATCCCCGTCGAACCATCAAGGCCACGGAGGCCATCTCCGGAAACCGCGCGATGTTTCATATGCACACACTCGTACTAGTACAGTTTACGACCCGCGTCTTTACGATGGGCGGTACGGCCCTTCACATCTTACCCGCCCCCCTCGTCTCTTCCACCCGCTGCACACCCACCCCCTCCACCCCTTTATCACCCCCCTCACCCCACCGTTGCACCGCAGAGGCTCGGCGGTTCCGCAGCGAGCACCCCCCCCACCCGCAGCCCCACGATGGTGCGTCGCTCGCGGAGCCTCGAGTTCCCCACGAGCGAAATCGGACCCAATCCCCACGACGTTAAGGTCGCGTTTCGTCTGTTCAGTACACTAGCGACACTGTTTCAAGTGACATTAGAACCTGCCTGTATACTCCAGTGGATTATTAATACAAATAACATTTTAGTAAGGAGAAAACCCACAGACGTTTAACTTTAATAATAAGACGACCCGAATGGCGTAGTCGGTAGTTGCCTGCCTTCTGCGCCAGAGGGTGTGGGTTCGACCCCCAATACTGGAAAAATATTGTGTGATGAGCATAGTGTTTTTCCAGTGTCTGGGTGTTCATATATGTATGATGTGTATTTATTTACAAAAGAAAAGTATGTTTAAGTATGTCTATCAGTTTTCTAGTACCCATAGTACAAGCGATGCTTAGTTTGGGACTAGAGAACGTGTAAAAAAAAGTGTCCTAAAAATATTCATCGCGACGTTCTAAGGGCGTGGCCTTTGCCCACCAGTGGTCGTCCTGATGATGACGATGAATTTCTACTAAGTTACTCGATCCACCCAGAAACTTGCCATTTTTTGCATTTCTCATGTATATCCGTTACTTACGTTATCCGTCCAGTCAGTAAGCCTTTATCCATCGATGACGTTTTATACGTAGGCGCGTCATACGCCAATAATGTTGCAATAAAAACAGCGTTATGTACCATTAGTACTAATAATGGATACGGTAAATATGTCTACTTTTAATCGGTGGTGTAGTGTGGGATTCTGCAGTCGCTTTCTACATAGTTTCGATATAAATGATAGTAAATGTATCAAGACATATTATTACATCGGCTACATCGTCCAAAACTAAGCGATGGAAGACATGCACTATATGGGTTACAAACACACTTAAGCATACTATTCTTTTGTGAACGAATACAAATTATTGTCTTATAAACACACGAAAAAACGCGTTCATCACAGTTTCCATAAGTGTGCATCGATACCACTCTTTGCACAAGGCGGGTAAATCGTTCGATTAACAGTCTTCAAATCTAAAAAGATCTAGGGAAGGACCGGCGTAATTATGCAACACATTTTTGCAACAGTAATTATGCAACACATTTTTGGACGTGGGTATTTGACAGTGACAGACAGACGAGGCGGCCGTCTGTCACTGTCAAACTGACACGCGCCTTGTCCGACCGACGTTGGCATCGACGCCACATTGCAGCCCACGCGCACATCGGAGAACGTCATAGAGCTCATGCAAGTGGCGAAGTCTCAGCGGGTCCCGTTCGGGGCGAAGGAGCGCTCGCACCGCTCGCTTCTCGAGCGTTCGTCGAACTACAAAATGGCGCATAACTCCAACATGGCGGGCAACTCAAATACGGCGGGAAACTCAGATACGGCGGGAAACTCAAATATGGCGGGAAACTCAAATATGGCGGGAAATTCTAATATGGCGGGCAACTCAAATATGGCGGGCAATTCAAATATGGCGGCGCACACGAATATGGCGGCGCACACGAATATGGCGGCGCACACGAATATAGCGGGAAATTCGGATATGGCGGCCGCCCGTTACTCGTCTAGCGACTTGGACGCGAATAGTTGCGCCGAATGCTCCAGAAATCATTTCTGGACTGACGCCACGAAGGTCAGGCGAGGATCGAGCAACGGTTGGTTCTTGTAGATGACGTTTGATATCTAGTAATTTGGAGTAGTTAGGAAGTAAATATTACGGCCTTTTTGGTCATTCCTAAATGTTGTTACTTAGTTGATGCTGAAGGTTTCTGGATTCTGGATTTCGATGAATAAAACCCTATCGGCCGACTCGATTCCCACACTATTACGTGCAGAAAATACCGATAAAACTATCCCTTAGTTGGCCCCGAAATATTTATAGAATAATTGAATTCAACTCCTGCGTCAGCTTTTTTTTTTTTTTTTTTTTTTTTTTTTTAACGTGGGAAAAATCCTTTATGGATTCCCCGCTGCCTTGTGGGTAGGCAGCAGGGGTATGTGGGAGTTACACGTACCCACTAAAAAACCCACGTTGCACCTGCGCTATCGCTTTGCCGGGGACACGGGAACACGAGAACGCAATCTTCCGCGAACCCCGGCGCGACTGTGGCCTTCTCAGGCCTCCTCTCCCCGGGTGTTAGGGACACCCGGTCCAGCCAAATGGTGCCGTGTCGGCGCAATGAACACGGCACCCCTCTCAAGCCCTCCGCGGGGCAGCAGTTAGTCCCACATCTGCCGCCCCGGGGCTTGCTATCAGGGGGGAAGGTTGCGCGCGTAGGCCAGCCTCCTGCGCCCTGGTCTCCGGCGGCGGATTTCCAGGGTGGCAGCTGCCTCCCTTTCTCCTGCGTCAGCTAGTCCAAGTCAAAATTTAAGTATTGTGTACAAGAATAGTACAGTTAGGTGGTTAATGACGGTCATCTTGCATTAAATGTACCATCATTTAATGCAAGATGACCGTCATCTCAGCGTCAATTCTCACCAAAAAGGTTTCTCACGTTTGCCAGAAAATAACTTATAAATATTTTTTTAAAACATTTCCCTTTAGGATACCGTTTTACAAACATAAATTTCACGTGGACAAATACCCAGATGCGAAACAACTTTCTGTTGATCACACAAATAGTTGTCACGCGGTGGGATCGAACCCACTCCCCCGATTCCGAAGCCAATACTTTAGCAACTGCGCCACATAGTCATCAAAAGTTGTGTTACAGTACATAAATTTACAATACATTTTTACGGAGCGGTCACCGTTTTGACATTATAAAACCTTTGTAGAGACTGACCGCGCTGTGAAAAAGAAACGCACCTCCTTCCGAACGGACTCGTCTCTACTGTCTATACACGATCTATCCTCAAGCGACGAGCGTAGACCGTCAACCGGTACGGAGATTACCGGCGGTCCGGTACGACCGTACCATCCGGAGCCGTGTCGCTCCACTGACGAGCTAAGTCCGGTACGAACGCGCGATAGCGACGATCCGCAACCGTCTCGCTCCACTGACGGGCCGACTAGTGACGTGCCCGACCCGGTCCGGACCGCTACCGGTCTCGGCGGTAGCGACCCGCGCGCGGCGGAGACCGCGTGGCGCGAAACCGAACGCCTGGTCCTGACGCAGCTGTCGAGGATCATATGCCTACTGGAGAAGAGGGACCCGACCTGAGAGTTTTCAACGGACGTATTTGCGAAATAGATACGAAAGGTTAAATATCTTAACTAAGTTTACAATGACTTTGACGTTTGGATTTTAGAATATACCCGTATCCTTCGAAAACGTTACGGTAATGATGTAGAAACAGTAAAAGTTCATATTATAGAATACATATTATATGTTATCTTAAACAAATCTAGTTTCGAAAAATATATCTTAGTCTTCGCTAACACTACTGTAGTTTATTCGAAAATAAAAAAGTAAAAGTAGAAATTATAGAATATTTATAAATGATATATGTTATCTTAAACAAATATTATTCGAATAATAATATATCTTAGTCTTCGAAAACGTTTGGTCGAAAATAAAAAAAATAAAAGTCCAAATTATAGAATATTTGTATGAAACGTTAAAGCGAATGTTCGTCTATAAACTGTTGCTAGTTTTAGTTTGGGGTATTTACGATAACCTATGTATGTATGTAGTTCGGCAAAGTAATTAGAGCACAACTAAATTTCTCGGTAGTCGGGTCACTTGCCGTCCGGTCAGCGGCGGACGGCAAGTGGTCACAACCAACCATGGATAATCGTAACGAAAGAAGAGATACGAATGCGTACTTGACCTCTAGAAAGTAGGCTCTACTCTTGAATGACGCTAAGAGTTATCTTTTAGTCAGGCAGTACCACTGACGATAGATAATTGGTAATTTATACACAGGTGTAAATGTTGGTGTCGGTTTTAGAGCAACGTTGCTAGACCTGGCCGGCACGGGAAATTACCAAGGCCTTACAGAATACCGACACGACATAAAAGTATACTCTTGCGTTAACTGAAGACCCACAATCACCTTAGCCTCTGGTGTTGTGTGTATCAATCCTCATTTACCACGAGGTAGAATGCTTAGCCAAAAATTTCAGAAACGATAACCCAAGTATCGATTATTTCCGGAGATTATCAAAGCGTTTAACGCCCCAACGACTAATTCGGCAACAAAAAAACTGGCTAAGTGCGAGTCGTACTCGGATCTCGTCGGATCTATAAAAGCGGCAAAAGAATCCTGGTTTTTAATATTCATTGTTATAGAAGCAACATAAATATATCATCTGTGAAAATTTCAACTGTCTAACTATCGTGGTTCATGAGATACATCGTGGTGACAGACAGACTGTCAGATAGACGGCGGAGACTTGGTCGTTTTGCCCTTAGTGTACGGAACCCTAAAAAAAGGGTATGATAAAAAAAGGAAAAAGAATAACAAGAACCATCAACTGGTTTCGTGATCTTCTTCCTAGATTCCAAACATCAAGAAGCATTATCAAGGCCAAACTCAGTTTTTACTTGGCTCGCTTGCGGCACCACCACGTCCTCATGAGGTCAGAGTGACTGAAATATTATACTTCTCCGTTTCGTCCGATGAGTGAAATTACCATTCACTCCTTTAAAGGTTAGCCACACACCAGCAATCCACGGGTGATGTAGGCGTCGATGTTCACTCTTAAATGTTAGCCACACACCAGCAATCCACGGGTGATGTAGGCGTCGATGTTCACTCTTAAATGTTAGCCACACACCAGCAATCCACGGGTGATGTAGGCGTCGATGTTCACTCTTAAATGTTAGCCACACACCAGCAATCCACGGGTGATGTAGGCGTCGATGTTCACTCTTAAATGTTAGCCACACACCAGCAATCCACGGGTGATGTAGGCGTCGATGTTCACTCTTAAATGTTAGCCACACACCAGCAATCCACGGGTGATGTAGGCGTCGATGTTCACTCTTAAATGTTAGCCACACACCAGCAATCCACGGGTGATGTAGGCGTCGATGTTCACTCTTAAATGTTAGCCACACACCAGCAATCCACGGGTGATGTAGGCGTCGATGTTCACTCTTAAATGTTAGCCACACACCAGCAATCCACGGGTGATGTAGGCGTCGATGTTCACTCTTAAATGTTAGCCACACACCAGCAATCCACGGGTGATGTAGGCGTCGATGTTCACTCTTAAATGTTAGCCACACACCAGCAATCCACGGGTGATGTAGGCGTCGATGTTCACTCTTAAATGTTAGCCACACACCAGCAATCCACGGGTGATGTAGGCGTCGATGTTCACTCTTAAATGTTAGCCACACACCAGCAATCCACGGGTGATGTAGGCGTCGATGTTCACTCTTAAATGTTAGCCACACACCAGCAATCCACGGGTGATGTAGGCGTCGATGTTCACTCTTAAATGTTAGCTACATACCAGCAATCCACGGGTGATGTAGGCGTCAATGTTCACTCTTAAATGTTAGCTACATACCAGCAATCCACGGGTGATGTAGGCGTCAATGTTCACTCTTAAATGTTAGCCACACACCAGCAATCCACGGGTGATGTAGGCGTCGATGTTCACTCTTAAATGTTAGCCGTCGCGGCGTCGATGTTCACTCTTAAATGTTAGCCACACACCAGCAATCCACGGGTGATGTAGGCGTCGATGTTCACTCTTAAATGTTAGCCACACACCAGCAATCCACGGGTGATGTAGGCGTCGATGTTCACTCTTAAATGTTAGCCACACACCAGCAATCCACGGGTGATGTAGGCGGCGATGTTCACTCTTAAATGTTAGCCACACACCAGCAATCCACGGGTGTTAGCTATGTCCAGGTAGGCGTCGATGTTCACTCTTAAATGTTAGCTACACACCAGCAATCCACGGGTGATGTAGGCGTCGATGTTCACTCACTCCACGGGTGATGTAGGCGTGTGTAGCCCACACACCAGCAATCCACGGGTGATGTAGGCGTCGATGTTCACTCTTAAATGTTAGCCACACACCAGCAATCCACGGTAGATGTAGGCGTCGATGTTCACTCTTAAATGTTAGCCACACACCAGCAATCCACGGGTGATGTAGGCGTCGATGTTCACTCTTAAATGTTAGCCACACACCAGCAATCCACGGGTGATGTAGGCGTCGATGTTCACTCTTAAATGTTAGCCACACACCAGCAATCCACGGGTGATGTAGGCGGCGATGTTCACTCTTAAATGTTAGCTCTTAAATGTTAGCCACACACCAGCAATCCACGGGTGATGTAGGCGTCGATGTTCACTCTTAAATGTTAGCCACACACCAGCAATCCACGGGTGATGTAGGCGTCGATGTTCACTCTTAAATGTTAGCCACACACCAGCAATCCACGGGTGATGTAGGCGTCGATGTTCACTCTTAAATGTTAGCCACACACCAGCAATCCACGGGTGATGTAGGCGTCGATGTTCACTCTTAAATGTTAGCCACACACCAGCAATCCACGGGTGATGTAGGCGTCGATGTTCACTCTTAAATGTTAGCCTCACACCAGCAATCCACGGGTGATGTAGGCGTCGATGTTCACTCTTAAATGTTAGCCTCACACCAGCAATCCACGGGTGATGTAGGCGTCGATGTTCACTCTTAAATGTTAGCCACACACCAGCAATCCACGGGTGATGTAGGCGTCGATGGCAGCGGTGATCACTTAACACAACGTGAACCGCCTGCTCGCTGGCCACCTTCACTACATAGTAAAAAAACATGTCGTCCCGTCTGTCTGTCCCTGTGTATGCTTAGATCTTTAAAACTATGCAACGGATCTTGATGCGGTTTTCTTAACCGACTTCAAAAGGAGTTTCTCAATTCGACTGTCTTTTATTTTTGTTCGTTATCTCATAACTCAACTGCGTGGACCGATTTTGATGATTCTTTATTGAATCTTAAGTGCAGAGATTAGCACTATATAAAAAAAAAAAACTTTAAAAAAATTAAGATTCTTTATTTATTTGTAAGCTGGTGCTTCCCATGTGGTCCCATATTAATTTCATTGGTATTGAATCTTGGCCCAGGAGATACTTAGATAATTCCTGGAAATCAATTATAAATTAATACAGAGCGAGACTTGGAGTCGGTTTTGTTTTTCGTTATAATTACTAGATAGAGTGATTCCAGTGGAAGGTTTGTATGTATATATGTAATACATTGCGCTCGTGCAAAGCGGGTCGCTACTATGGGAGTTGAACCTTTTTAGCATCACATATACTAAAAAGGTTCAACTCCCACGTGCTCCAAGTGTGCACGATGGTGATCCCTACTGTTATTAAAAATGCTTTAACGTGTGTTGCAGCTGTTGCAGTCCGTGGACGAGGACATCAGCATAAGCGGCGAGCACAAGACACCGTCGCGTCAGGTACGGACTATCCGCCCACTTGAGGCTCGGTGTGTTCAGTTTTAAAAGAGAAGGGACAAATGGGTAGGCGCTGCACCTTTATACAACATCTAAGGCGCTGTAAACGCGTCGCCAACCTTTAGTGAAGTGACTACCGTTGCCCAAATATCTACAACGCCTGATGCGTTGCAGACGTACCTTTATGAGTGTGTCCCGTCTACTTACCTCCCCATAACGCAAATTTATAACGCTTCCATTACAAATACCGCGTGAAGAGGTAGAATAATAGTTTGGCGTTGCGTCCGATGAGTAAGGCAACCGGGCTGACTTTCCAATGAGTTGGCAGTGCACGCAACCCTTAAGGTGTTGAAGGTGTCATTGAACCACGCACTTCAGCTGTTGCACGAATGGGCAGGCTCGTTCGGGCAAGCACCGCGGTCTCGCAGAAGACCTTCACGAACCGACCGAGTGAGGTAGCTGGGGTCTACTTCATTAAAAGGTGACAACTCATCTGCAATCCACGGGTGTTGCAAATATCCGGTCATCACTTAACATCAGGTGAAGCCACCGCTCGATTTCCACATTCTCACATAAAAGAAGCCCCAACAGGTGTCCCCCAACCCGGTGCCCGTGTCGGCCTCGCCCCTCACCAGGGCCTCGTTCGCCTCTCGCACCTCTCCCGAGCCCCGCAACGGTGACGTGTTCGCGAGGCAAGACGAGCAGGAGAAGCTGCTCAAGTAAGCGCCCTCCTGGCGGCGTGGCTACGCGCTCTACACGCGTCGAGCTACGCACGTAACCACACTTCCTAGCTACTTAAGAGCATCTGCGTAGAGCTACGTAGATCCGCGTGCCTGCGGTAAGCTACGGCGCTACACCTAACAATGGAGAGCAAAGTAGTTCCGCGTGCCAGCGACGAGCTACGGTGCTACACCTAACAGCGATCTAAGTAGTTCTGCGTGCCATCGAATTGCTACGTAGCTACGCGTGACAGCACAGTAATACGTAGCTAATCATGCTAGTTGAGAACTATTTACGCGTGACGGTAGTAGCGCTTCGCGTGATAAGCAGCTACGTTGCTGCGAGTAAACGCGTGTGAGCGGTTTTGTCTATTGAAATTTGTGGCATAGCTACTGCTGTGAGCGTTACCTACGTGGCTCAGCGTAGTTGACTACGGCAGCATCGAGCCTGGATAAACGCGGCTACGTACGCGTGTGCAGCGACGTTGTTCGGTACTCAGTGAGTTTTCAGTAGTTTACGAGTAATAATGCTGCACGATGAACTGCTACGCGTGGAACACGTCGCGCATAAAGGCCAATTTACACGGTGCCAGTTTCTTGCCTGTTGTATACAATTAAATTGAAGCAATAAATGAGTTGCATGGTCTAAACAACAAATGGTCTAAACAATTATTGCGCGCAATTTATTGCATTCAATTATTGCTCTTGTATGTTCAAGAAAATGGCATCGTGTAAATGGGCCTTAACTGTTTCGGTATGCGTGGAGCGACTTCGACGGTATCGCAAAAGTGCTACGGCTGTATACTGCAGACGCTAAGCATGCTACTTGCGTTTGCAGCGTACATCGTCGTTGCTACGCACGTCTACACTGGTAGCTACGCTTTATTCGATCATGGAGCGGTGTATATTTGCTGTGTCGAGCAACATTGCCGCGATTGCAACACTATAGCGACAGTGTAGTAACTGTACCACGCCATCGGAGTGGCTATTTCACTCATTCTTTGTCTCTTGCATGCAAATACCTTTTGGGGTAGTGAGCGAAGATTTGTACTTATGGAAGTTTCCAACCGAAAACTGATCATGCATGGCTATAAAAAAACCCCGATACAAATGTCAGTATTACACTATAACATTTATAAAAACGAGTATTTATGCCCCAACTTAGTTAAGTCATCATTATGTTAAACGGCGTGTAGCATCAGTAATCATTTTTCATCTCAACCCAGTCAATTTAGATAACAAGCAAAAACAGTTATCGTTAGCTTCCTTGCAAACTATTATAATAAAAATAAAACAGTTTTGCATATAATTATCACTCAATGAATTCGTCGAAAATATGTTTCACGCCATAATTTAAATAACAAATAAACATGAACAAAAACATTTAATAGGAATTTATGTCACAGATTATGATTATTGATTGATACATTTAATTTATTACCCCATACGTCCATTATTGTTGCTGGCAACAACATCGAATATAAATAAATGTTGCCACATTTATAGATTATTGTTATATATCTATTTAAGATACTACGTTCGTTGTCTCTATCGCGCATGAGCGAAATGAAAATGTTAGAAAGAGACGCACTGTTATTTAGGTATAGTGTGCACCCAAGTATAGAGTAAGAATTTATTTGGGTATAACTAAATAGGCCTTTATAACAAATCAAAGAGCGGGATGATTATGCTAAAATCGTGCTATTCTTCCTATTCAATATTTTTATTTAGTTGCGCGGGTAATAATACTTCCATTGCGGTCAACTTTCTGTTCGTCACTATAAGATTTGAAATATTTCCGTTTACAGCGCTCTTTTTGGGGCGATCCGTATTAAAAATAATTTGCTTTCTATCATTTCATTTTCAACTCCAAAAGTAGAAGTAAAAAAATTCTGTAGTACTTAAGAAAACTGTCCAATACGACGGGCTTTAAACTTTGTTAGTATTTAGAGGTTTAAAAAATAAGAAACTGTCACAAAACCTTAATTTTTCCCGCCAATCCATAATATGTCAGTTAACTTATTTTTAATCATGAATTTATAAACGCCGTTTCAGACTTAAACACGGACTTGTTTAAGAAACAAACCGACCTCGAACTGTTTTCTGATTTATAATGAGACGATGAACAGAAGAAAATCTTTTCAATACCAGTAAAAACAAAACGCGTCAAGTGTCAAAATTACCCGCCAATTTGCGTCATTCTAAAATGTTCGCTCCCAAGTCATGATAAAGTTTCCAATGACAGCTTTTTGTCTCGTTTAATGTTTGTTAATGTTTTGGTGCTTCGCGTTAGGAATTATTTTAATCTTGTCTTTTTTTTAATTATTTGATTAAATCTCAAAACGATACTAGTCTCATTAGATGTAATTTTTTTTAATTTTTTCGATTAATTTTCGACGGAAATATTTTTTTTTGTTTTATTCTTTAAAGTAAAAAACATTATAGTGATACGCATCGGCCTATTTGAAGAGCTAATTAGCGATAACCTCGTAGAGTTGATTACAATGTACAACGACAATAATAAATGAGTTCTCTTCCATCTTTCGCCTTGATCTTTCGATATCTCCATCTCTTACTATGTTTTTAAAGTTCTAAACACATTTTGGTTTCCCATTTTAAATCAAATTGCTAATAAATATGTTCATGCTTCATATTGTCGCATGGATTTTTTACGCTCACAAATTTCATAAAAGCCCTTACAAAAAAATAAATTTCAATCCATGATTGTCTATTTCCTATAGTTCGAATGTATCGTATTCCTTTAAGGCGTAAACTGTTTATTTATAAATCTCTCCCAGTGTTGTTTTTTCGATGCACCTCAAGTCTGCATTTTTATCCATGGCAAAATAACTCTTACTGGCAATCTTTTTTTTTTTTTAAATGAAAAAATTTATTTACATTTCCCGCCATTACATATTCGAAATGTACCTACGTCGGCTGTTTCTTTTTTATTAATAAAATCCATGCGATTTCTTCATCCGTATTTATTCTCGTAGAGAAGTAAATTATAAATAACATTATGAGATCGTGTCAAATTTTTATAATTCAATTATGAGTTGAAAATGCATACAAATAGTATTAAGAGGAACCGTGAACAATTTTTACACTTCGCTATCGTTATTATAAAAATAAAATATTTAGATTTAATTAATCTAAACGATAATTGTTTGTTTTTTATCAAATACAATGTCGAATGAATCTTCCAACGCAAAAGCGTGATATAAAAAGGTTTGCAGTGATTTGTTTGTACTGGCAGTTGTAATCATGTATTCCATATATTTTATTAAGAAGATTAATACTTTACTAGGGCCTAATTCGTCTGTTTAAGTACTTTATTTGCTTGCAGGTATAGAGCGCTCTTAGAACTCAGAATCATGTCCTGTTAGGGAAATAGGTACGCGAGACATTGTTTTATATTTAATTTAAAAAAGTTTTAAAGATTTTTCACAACTTCTTTCTTCTTCTTGATAAAAATGTATTGTGATGTATTACTTTTGCGTTGTGAAGTGAATAAGATATATAATTTTACCTTTTATATAAAGTTTTCATACTTTATACGAAAGACATAAAAATGTTATTACTGTTAAATTACTTATGGCGTAATTTTAACTTGAAGGATTTGTCTATTTTATTAGCAGAATAACTACAACTACTCTGAGACCCTTCTATATACAATATCATGAAATATCATTTGATATTATTAGGGCCGGATTTAGAGGTCTGGAGGTGGCAACAAAAGAGTGGAGGCACATTGGCCCCAAATTATTTTCCATTGATTTCTGTTAATGTAATCATACTTGTACAAAGTACTGTGGGTAAAATGCGAAAAACATATGAAAGGTAAAGTTGTTTACTAGTGTTTACTAGTCTGAATTAGATTTTTTTTCCAAAGTCTCTATTGTGGGGGCCCCGGGGCAGTAGCCCCTCTTGCCCTCCCCTAAATCCGGCCCTGGATATTATCTTTTTCGTATACGGTATTTCCATACTATGATTACAACTGGCTGACAAAATTCGCCACGTGAACGGAAGTGAAACGAGCCATAGAGACTAAATATAGTTGTACTTACATTGTGATATGTACTTAGATCTGATTGTACGTCATTTAAGTGATTGTAAGGACAATGTGCTTAGAGTTTTATATGAGAGACGCCGTTTTCTACGCCACAGCTGACGCGCGCCTCGTTAACTTTATGGAATCATTGTTAAATGAATCGTTTTTACGGATTTTATCGTATTTTATTAAATTCCTGTAATTCCCAACCCTTTCCAGCGTTCTTCGCGGGAAAAACAAGAAATCTATGGAATTATATTAAAACACCATGCAATAAAAATAAAATTTCATGTGTCAAAATTACCCGCCAATTCGTGTTGTCACAGTATCCATCCCTCGCAGTCGTCAATGATAAAATTTATAGTACAACGATATTTTTATTCTGTTCTATTTTTGTTCATGTTCTAGTCCCGAGATAGACATCAACCGTTATTTCCGACAAACAACGGTTTTCAATTTTTTATAATATAAGGTATATTATATATTATGTATCTTATGTAATCTCGACTTGCCTGATTTAAAATGTATTCTGATAAGTCTAAAAGAAATGCAACATTACTTATTTTTACTTTTGAATATTTTTTTAGATAAATTACACGTAACAATGAACATTACATTTAAATGACATCTCTTACCGAAGATTCTGTTCGAGTTAATATGGCGCCCGTGAGTTTATTGCAAGATTTGTGGTTAGTGGTCTATTGACAATAGAAAGAAGAGCTGGTAAATGTATTAAAATTAAACAGGAAAAAAAAGGTAGAGATAGAAATCTCTTAAATTATAATAAAGGTAGTAACTAAGACTAGTAGTGACGTAATAAAGATTTCAATATATTATTATTCTGTGATGGGATATTCTAAGCTGGATGTACACTGTTTCCTTTGCCTTATTCGAATATATCTTTAAACATTGTTTATTCAAAATTCTGTTTTGGCACCAATTACTTATTT